TGGCTGTTTGTCTAAATTTCAAAATGATTCTTAAAAGGAACTGAAACCTAATAGATCTGTGAAAAGTACCTCACTTGACTATCTCTATTAAAGGACTACCTCTATTAAAGGAAAACACCATTAATAACAATAAACAGTCATGGTTAAGTCCCACTCATTGTTTTCAGTACTAAAGGTCTTAAGACTTCATTTCCCATGTTTTGTAGAGAAGTGATGTGCCTAGATCCCATAGTATGTTTTCAGTTTTAGCTGTCCCTGGTAGCATTAGTTGTATCATTAGAATTATCACTCTGCTCTTAATCTAGAAAGGATTTGTCTGTTTTAAGGTGGTGATTGTGGCTTTCTTAAACAGTAACATAATGCTTATTAGATTCTCTGATCAGCTAGCTTCTGTTCTTGCAGCAATTTGAGCTATTTCTGTGTTCACAGGCGTGAAGTCACACACTTAAGTGATTCCATTTAAACCTTTTATATGACTCTAGTACTTGCGTGTTGCTTTACAGCTCAGCACGCTAGGATTTAATAAACATCATAGGCCATGTGGCTTATGACAGTTTTTAGTGTTTGGTTTTTTTTTTCTGTTAAGTGTTAAACAGTTCTGGTAATGTATGTAAGGCTTTGTACATTTCCTGCTTTCTTAGTGTTAGGAAGTCTAAAGCTGTCTGAGGTGCAACTAGAGTAAGTTTATTCCCTGTGGTGCTACCTCACCCTCCCCTTCCCCTAGGCTAAATTAGGTTGAAATTGGATGTTGTGTTCTGACAACAAACTCTCAGTGGAGTATTCTAATGCGTTCCTAGAATTACAGCAATGTATTAGCCATTGTTTTCAGATGCATTTAACGTCTAGGGTGGAAAGAAATAGACTTAATCTCAAAAATGCCTAAGCCTAAACTTGTGGAATCTTAAATGTACTCTCTTTACTTTGTAGCCTTAATCTATTTAAGTTTAATATAAATTCCTTTGTATTTCTGTAATTACTTGAATTGTAGATGGCTTATACATCCACGCTTCTGACTCTCTGAAGAGTGCTGTGGATCGGTGAAGGTTGCCCAAGTGAATATGGTAGCTTAATAGTTTCAGTTAATAAGTATCCCACCCTTTCTTTTTCATGCCCACATTTTAATCAGATATGATAGCTAACAGCTAATGTAGTGCTGAGCAGATGCAGGGGTGAGAGAGAAAAGGGAAGGATATTCAGAATTGTGATTCTCAAAACAGTGCTAGTTTGGCTAGTGGTGGTTACTTCTTTCTGTGGTGGAACATGGTTGTGGTGAACTGTTGAAAGTTTGCAATCTGCTTCTGCTCAAGGTAGGTGATCTAGAAGTTTTGGCTTCCTTATTGGGGTACAGCATGTCAAGGGCCTCTTAGCTGCGTTACAGTAGCTAAAATTCCAGAATTTGGTGTTTGAATACAGTTTCTTTGCGCTTCTTGCTGGAGCTCTCAAGTGTGATTCAACCCTCTTAATAGTTCTGTAATAAAAGAATCTACATGGCTGCCACTATGTATTTTAAAACTTGTTATTTGTGGTAACTCATGAACCAGGAACTGAAGATGATGATAATTTCAAGCTCTTCCTATCATGATGTGTCAATTGAAATGATTCTTAAGGTACTTTAATTGCTTTGGGGGGGGTGGGGGGGGGGTTCCTCTTTTCCTGTTTTCCTGTTTTCTGGCACACACAATGATTTAAGAGCTACATCAATTGTATAGATAGTAAGCTTCATAAGCTGAGGTTTTCTCTGGGAGCTCTCCTCCTCCCATAAATATCTTCCACCTGTTTTGCCAGTGAATGAGATGTTGTTTATAATTCCTTTCTGGATAAAGCTTATCAGTTTATTTCTTCTTGATGGTCAGCCTTGGGTTTCCAGACAAGGAGGTTTTGTGGAATGTGTACTCTTCTTTCCCTTCCTATTAAGGGAGAACTCTTTGGGCTTAAATTTGTTAAGCTGAAAGAGTGGCAATACAGTAACAGCAATTGGAAATGCTTGTGCACTGCAGTTGTCTCTGCAGTATGATGCTTGGTTGTTGTTTCAATGTGTCTTGTGTCAATGTGCTCTTCTCCTTGACACAGTACATGGTATACTGGTACCTTCTCCATCACTTGCTTGGAGTGACAGTCTCATCTACTGCTTGACCAGATCCTGACCAGAACATGAATTCAAAGAAAAAAGGCAAAAGAAGATGTCTCAGTGGGCCAACTACAATAATAAAACCTTATTTTGGAAGGTGCCTTAAGGGACCATGTAATCTAGCCTCCTAGCTTTACGATGTGTATTGTCGCCTCTAATAGAGGTTTGTTTAACAGATTCTTAAAGATTTAAAACGTGAGAGACTTGATAGCCCTGCTAAGCAATCTAAAACATGTGTTTATCTTCTGTTTTGAAAGGTGTTCCTGATCTGTAATCTGAGTCTGTTTTCTTCAGCTCAGGCCTATCTGTTCTACAGATGTAGGGGGAAAAAAACACCCCTCTTCATAAGTGCTTGGGGGAAAAGATTCGGACCTGTTTCATGATGTTTCTTCAGTGTTAACAATATCAGTGTATGCCAAGTTTGGATCCTGCTTCTAGGGCTTTCTTGCCTTTCTCACTTCAGATTCTCCTCAGTCAGTTTGTCTCCTCTGCACTGCAGCACCTGAAAAAGGATGTAGGACTCCAAAGTAAGTCTTGCTGTGGCAGACTTTTGCAGGCTGTGCATGTGTGTATGTAGAGTACTTTATTATATGTAAATCATCACTGATTCATGTTTGGACTGTAAGCTGCAGTCATTTAAGATCTTAGTTGGAATTGTGGCCTAGCCAGCTGTTCAGCAG